TGGAGAAGTGCCCCTCCAAGGCAGTCAGCGGCCCCCCGCACTCTGGAGAGACACACATATGCAACTTTACCGCCTGTCCTTCTCCCTTCATCCCGTCTCCCCACTCCCCTGCCCCTGCCTCCCACTGCCCATCACTGTGCCCCCTGGCTGGGTGCTGTGGGGGCTGTGGGCTGCAGGTGGGGGGCTGGCCCACCTTTGTGTTTCAGGCTGCAGTTGGCCTCATCGCTCTTGTCCGTGCAGTCCTGGAAGCCGTCACAGACGAAGCCCAGGTGGAGGCAGAGCCCCTGGTCGCACAAGTGCTCGTCCCAGGCACAGCTCTCTGCAGCACAAGCAGAGATGTCCAGGCTGGCAGTGGTGTCCCACTGGGCACCCTCCCCTGCCCCAGTGCCCCGGGTGTTACGGGAGACCCCCCTGGTGCTACCCACTGCCTGATGGCAGCAAGGAGTCCTGGCAGTGCCCGGGGTGGGGATACTCACTGTCACTGGGAGCCACAGCGCGGTAGCGGGCACGGAAGCCTGGGGCGCCCACGCTGCTGTCGGAGACAAAGGTGACGCGCAGGTGGTTGGAGTTGGTGTTGAAGGTCGGGGGGGCCACATTGCCGCAAAACCTGAGGGCACAACAGGGAGCAACACTGCTTGCCCCCAGAGATGCTGCCTCCTCCCCACTACATTGCTGTACTCCCCGGGTGAGAGGGGTCCTACCTGGTCGGGCCCCCCCGAGCTGGGGTAGGATCCATACTGCCAGACCCCTGCTCTTCATAGAGCTCCACGCGGTCGAAGAGGCAGGAGGCAGTGCCTTCCACGCTGAATGTCTCCATCTTCAGCTGGATGGTGAGGCCAGGGCTCACCTCGATGCGCCAGATGCAGAGGGCATCGGGTGGGTAGGGGCCGGGGTAGTTGGGTGAGCTGAAGGAGCCCTCAGGACCCCGCAGGGTCCCGCCGCAGGCTGCACGGGGCAACAGCGTGGGCATGAGCTAGTGCTGCAGGGCACCACCATCCCAGCACACTGTCTCACACGGGACTTACCCTGTGCTGCCGTGCCAGCTGTGGGCAGCCAGCTCTGAGTTGGGGTGGCAGCTGTTTTGGGGGCCGGGGTGTCCTTTCGGGTGGGTGCTGTGGTGGTGGCAGCAGTGCCACGAGCAGGCAGGGCTGCAGCTGGGGCGCCAGGTGACTGTGGGGACGTCAGCTCTGTGCCCAGGGAAGAGCAGGGACAGCTGAGCCCCGGCAGAAAGAAACGGCTGCAGCAGTGTGGGGAAGGGACTTAGGAAGCCCACCCAGCCCCACGCCTGCGCAGGTCTCCCAGGATCGCACACAGCTCTCATAGGGCCCAGTGACCTTGCCACATCCCAGGGAGGTGGAAATCTCCCTTCCTACTGTGCATGGCACTGTCCCCCCACGATGGGCAGACCCAGGTCCTGTGTAGGGTGGATGCACCCACTGTGCCCCTCTTCCCCCTCTGAGTCAGTTCCATGTCTCCCACCCCGCGGTCACAGCCCGTTCCCCAGCCCTCCCTGCTTGGGCACTCACGGTGGATGATGATGCCCAGGAGAAGGGCGAGGAGGAAGAAGAGGATGGCACTCATCAGAGCCACGCAGAGCCAGGTGAACTTGCAGTCGGCGCGGTACCGCCAGCCTGCCTGGCCCCAGAGCTGCTGGCCTGCGGGAAGGTGAGGAAAGCGGGCAGAGCCACAGTCCTGCTAGCCATACCCCCACCTGCCACCTCCCTGCACGGCTGGCTGAACCCTGCCTGGGCATGTCCCAACCTCTTGTCCCCAGGCTGATAGTGAGTCCCCTAAGTGGCCGCAGAGCTCTGCAGTGAGCTTACCCCACCACCCTGCTCCCAGACCCACGGCTGCTCCTGGCAGCCCTGTGGACAGGGGCATGTGTACAAACCCCCAGACGGGTACCGAAGCTGTCCCGAGGTGATGCAGAGCTGGTCCCATCCTCGTCTGGCGGGTGCCGAGCACTTGGTGATGCCTGGGGCTCCTCACTCTCAAAGACAGGGTTGCAGAACTCGGTCTGCAGGACAGCAAGCGCAGGTGACACCACGGGGACCACGCTGCTGGGACCCGCGGGGGGCTAGGCAGGGACCCCTAGGTGGCACCGCGCCCCACCCCCCAGCCCTACCTTGCTGTGGTCCAGAGCCTTGGGGCAAAGCGTGATTTCGGTGAAGTCTTTCATGGCGGCAGGCGATTCCCAGCGCAGCCTCGCTAAAAGCCCCCC